TAATCTTGTCTATGCTTCTATGGACACTTTGTATGGGCTGCAGCTCAAATCCTAAAATAGTCAAGAATTTTTCCTTTCCCATATAGTATTCTATTTACTTTGACTTAAAAAGAAAAAAGCGTATAAATGCAATAATGCAGGTAGACTAGAAATACTAGATTGAAAATTAAAGTAGTTTAGCTTGTCCCATTGTGACTGACAGTGTTGTATGACACCCAACGCTGTACCCTAACATTTTCCAGGCTTTCTACGTAGCTGAATCTAGTATTAGCTTTGAAAACCCATTGTATGAGTGGTGGGTGGATGGGTTGGAAATGCGTGCTCTCTATGCACTGTATGTTACTCACATCAGAAGCTGTATGGCCACTCCATATGCTGTGAAACTGTAAATGATTCCCAATACACCTGTAACTCTTACCAGGATTGTGAGAAATAAACTATATATAGAGATATATATACACACATAGATATATTGTATAATTCCTCATGTGAGCATCTTTGTGTATGTGGGGGTGTGAGAGAAAATGGCTGTTTTCCCTCTCACTCCGTGTTTCCTGCAAGCTCCATGTATGCTAGGATTAGTGATCCCAGTGAGGACTGTAAGAAAAGGCAGCCCCTGCCCCAGATAAACTCCAGCCTGCCCAAAAAAAGCAGGCAAAGGAAGATTAGTGTTAGTCCTGCATAGGAACTAAGGTGTAGAACAATTAAAGACTTATCCAGAGCCACAGAGGAAACCCTTTCTGATCCCAGTGATCCCCTGTTCTGCAGGTTGGTCTCCAGGATTTGCCGCACAGTTGCGTGCTCTGACTGCTCCCCCTGCCAAAGTAAGGTGTGCTCTGATTTGCTTGGTTTTGGTTTTAAGTTGGCCCAGGAGCATCCATTCTCACAAGTAAAGCATCCCCTGAGCACCTGGCTGGTGTCTGGGAGGTCCCTGTGCACTGGCGTAAGCCAGGGATTCCTTCCAATGCGTTAGAGGGGAGGAGGGTTTCGGCAGTGCACGTCGCTGCAAACAGTTGCTGTCACATTACACTGGCCCCAAGCAGGGTCTCTGCAGAAATCTGCAGGCTTTTGGAAATGAATCTCTTAAGAACTGGGAAGACAAATATTGTAACTCTCTTGGGGTCAGGAAATGGGGCAGCTTTCAGTTGCCAAAGCCTTAATTATCTGAGGTTTTTGGTACAGGAACACAGCTGAGGACTCAAGTTTTAGCTTGTCTGAAGATTCATAAGAGCAGGAGAGCAAATAAATTCTTTTGCCGAGTCTGAACCTGAGAAGCTGGTGTGGGTGGATGCCTGGCCCTCCCCGCTGCCCCCAGGGTGTGTGAAACAGCACATACCTCGGGCCGGCCAGGTACGGATGAGCTGTCTGGGCAGAGCTGGCAACCTGCCCCAGCTGCCCGGGCTGTGAGAGAGCCCGGCTTCTGAGGAGCTTGAGGCTCTTCTTCAGTTCCTAGGCTGGTGAAAGGTACCTTCTCCCAGCGAGAGCCTGGCCCACCTCCTCTTAACAGAAGAGGGTGTGCAGCTGTGGCTGGGAAGGTGGCAGGGATGGTTCGGCAACAGGCGATGCTGTGACTTGGAAGGCTTCCCCGTAATTTGGCATCAGTGGAGGCACCTGCAGAAGCTGTCCTCCTCGGCCTGCGGTGGAACGGTACCACTCGCTCGATGGAGAGGAAGGAGAATGGGCTGGGGAATCCTCCCATTCTGTCTCCTTCAAACAAAAAAAGTGTCTTTCCCTTCTCACTGCCAAGGAAGGCAGCGGCACGGACACATCGGTCTGGTTGTGGTGCCAACTTAGAGCGCAGAGTGCCTTCAAACCCTGGTTTGGGTATCTTCCACCTGCCCGTTCTCTGTTTCATCTACTTCTTTCCCTCCACATATTTATAGAAATCTAAAAAGTCTGAAAAGCAGAGGCTATGTTTACAATTATCTTAAACTATGCGTGGCTTTTCCCTGCTCCCTTCTACTCTGGCCATCATTTAGCCACAGAAAATGACGCAGTGCCAAATCACTGCATTTTGAAAGAAAAGCAGAGCAGTTCTATTTTACTGGGCAGGATTTGAAGAGGAAGCACTCAGGCTGACTTAACATAACCATAACATCCAGGCTCTACCAAATCCAACACTCTGTGAAGTAGCAAATAATGCATATTGTGAGCCTGCCACAGCGCTAGTTACTGCTCGCATTTGCTAACCTCCCAAATTAAGCAGCGAGGGGCTGCGAAGCGTATCTAGGGCTTGCTGGAAGGGAATTTGACAGAAGACCATTTGCAAAACTGAGCTCTTGTAAAACGTAGGCATTGGCACCTACTGAGCAGGGGAAGATCAAGCGTTAAGACATTGCTGTATAATTTAATCTCCCAGCAGCTGGGACGCTCTCACATGCATTTTTTTCTATGCCCTACCCTCAAATTGTTGTCAAGTCCTCTAACGCTTTGTATTTTGGGCAGTCTAGGGAGGATGGGAAGAGCTGATGGAGCAGGATTTGCGACAGCAGTTTGCTTTCTGCTCTTGGATATAGAAAAAGAGCACTGGATTCACAAGCAAGGAATAAGGAACATAAATGTGACGCTCCATGCTATAAAGGCTTAGGCTGCTGGAGTGGCACTAAGTCCCCTGCACAGAAGCTGAACTGAATCATGAAAGTACGCTTTGAGTTTGTTTTTTTTTTTGTTGTTTTTAATCATTTTCTGGTAGCTAAGCTGGAGCAAAGAGAGAGGAACATCCAGGTATCTTCGCAGTTAACCAGCCTATGGTTTCAGGACCCACTTTTGGCGACAAAAGGTGACTGACGGACAGATGATTGAAGAAACAGACAAACAGACAGCCTGATGGCATAAGCTGCATTTCCTTTAGGAAGCCAGACTGGAAATTAGGTCCTTTCAAATAAATAAACAAAAATAATGGCAGAATTGTACTGTCTTCATTTTACATCTATCATTTCACAATGGCATTTTCTCTTTGTAATACACTACCACAATCAAGAGATAAACCTGTTAACACAGAGATGAAAAATACAAATCCAGAAACTGAACAAGGTTTACAAAAATTGCTTTTCCATGTAAGCCACAGAGCCAAAAGCAATGGCACCTGCAATAAACGAACATTTCTCTTGAAGAATAATCATTAAAGATTAAAAGCGTATGCAAAGAATGCAGTCTGGACCAGATATGAGGGATGGGAAAGACGGTTTCAGGGAGGTTTGGATGACTTTATTTAGCTTGCAATTCTGATGCTCATTCCAGCAGCTCTGGGAAATCACCCACGTCTTCATCCATGTATTTCAGCCATCCTTTTTTTTCAGCAAACCACTCTGACAGATCCGTGTGCATCTTGTACCATCCCATATAACGTAATCAGTTGTTGCTTCTTCAGGGATGAGAAGGCACAGGATGGACGTCTGTCCCTCCACAACATCCCTGGGGTTACTCATCCCTGAGGGTGAGAGTTAGCAAGAGCAAAACCTGGTATCAAGAGCAAAACCTGAGTGATAACTTAAAATAACTTAAAACCAGCTTGAGCCAGTAACAGCTTAAGCCAGTAACTTAAAAACAACTTGGGCTCATCAAAGGAGTTTTGTTCCTCCTTATCTCATGTCAGAAACACATCATTAGCACAATAAACCATGATCCGTGGTGGCTTGGGCTTCCTGGGAAGGCTTCTGGTGTTTGGTTGCCCAAGGAGGGACTTTGGTCAGAGCAACGAGGTTTGAATCCCAGCACTGCAGCTGGATGTGGCCGCTCAGCTGGGCATTGAAAATTACCTGACATTTTGACATTTATGCCTGTTTTTTCATTTCCAGTCTGCAGCATGGGGGTTTCCCTTCTTCGAGGTGGGGTGGTCCCTGTAATAAGCTTTCAGTGATTCAGTCCTACCGGGTATCAGTATGAATTTGACGGGGTGGGGGGGATATGAAAACCCAGTATAAAACTTTGAGGAGGAAAACAGTCGTATGCCAGTACTGAGCTTGAGGAGCGCTGCTTAAGGGCACCAACGCGCTGACTATGAAGGGGAAATAAAGCACGGCGGCCGCTGCACGGTAGCGGGGGGGAGGCAGGTGGGACGTGCCGCCAGGTGATCCGCATGATCCGCCGTGGTGCCCCCGAGGGGTTAAAAGGCA